GTGGCCAGCGGGGAGGAGATCAAGCTCATCAAGCTGAAGAAGAACTGGCGCTGCGTGCGGTGCGGCGGCGAGCCCACCGACAAGAAGACCGTGGAAAAGGAAAACTCCCGCGGTAAGCTTACCATCAAGGTGGACAACAAAAACCTCTCTACGAAGGTGGAGGGGACGGAGAGGCGCGGCAGCACGACGACGACGACGACAACCACCTCCTCCACAAGGGAGACATTGCTGACCAACGGCCAGCGCCGAGAGGAGTCCTTCACCTCAGGCGATGAGACGGACGTGCCCAACGCGGACAAGACGGCCACCCCCACCGGCGTGGACAGCTACATGTGGGAGCTGGAGGACATGCGCCGGCGGCAGGAGGAACAGTACGCGCGCAAGGTGAGCACAGAGCTTAATCTAGTTATTGATACAACGAAACAAGGGTCATAGGAAACAAATTTGAGTTCATCGAACCAACTGCAGCATTTTAATTTTTTAACCAAAGAGGTTCGAACCAAAGTTAACTTGTCTTCGTAGTAAATAATGATTGCAATCAAAATTCCGTCCAGAAAGGAGAAGTGGTGTATTTCCGAATGCTGGCCGCGGCTGACCGTGTTTTGCTGCTCGCAGGTTACGGACAAGGAGAACATCCTCCTCAACGCCGATGTGCACGTGCAGCTTCCCAAGTCATCCCGCGAGTCCTCTCCGGACGCGCGCGGTGTTCCTGGGCGCGCGGGGTCGGTGTGCACGGCGGGCGACGAGTCGGACAGCAGCCGGCCGCGGTACGCGGACCGCGTGAGCGAGCCCGGCTCTGACGAGGAGGGCCCCGGGCCCCGCCAGGGCTCCGTCAACAAGCTGCCCCAGCTGGACGAGCGGAGGTCCAGCGAGCAGCGGGAGTTGGAGCGTGACGGACTTGAAGAGGATGAGAACGACGTGGCGAACCTCAGCGTGTCCGACAAGGTAAAGTAGAGTACAGTTTTCAAGTGGATGTGGGGTGTTCGAAGTGGAGTCCTTTCTGTGCAATTCTGTTTTTATCGACATTCCTTCTTTGACCAGGTGAACCGCTTCATGGAGAGCTCCCGCACGCTGTCCATCTCCGAGCTCAAGACGGTGCATCGTCCTTCCACCACCACCACGACCGGCACCACCAGCCCGGACCATCCGGGCAACGTGAGCAAGGCCAAGGCGCTGTTCGAGAACATCGCGAGCGGCCAGCAAGGCCACAAGCACGACCAGGACGACGAGGAGGAGCTCGAGCAGCAGCAGGAGCGACGGCAGAGCAGCAGCGAGGTGGTCACCACCGTCACGTCGACCTCCACGCCCCAGCAGATCGACGTACTGAGCCGCCCGTCCATCTTTGACGGTAGGAAAGTCTTGACGGAGACCACCATCGAGACCACGACTACCACGGCCACGGTGCCGGATATTCCTGTTGGGGTGACTATCGCCAAGGACACGCTGCCCAGAAAGCGCTCTCCATCACCAGAGCCACCCAGCTACGGCATCGACTACAACAAGAAGCCTGAGCCGAAGCAGACCACACCGTCTCGTGCCAACGTCACCCCGAGTCGACATGACTCGTTCCCTAAAGACACAAAGACGACAACATCGAAGAAGACTACAGACACCACGGACTCGGTCCGCAGGGATTCCGTACGGAGGGAGCTCTTCCCGGACACGAAGAAAACCACCACAACATCTAGCACTAAGACAAGCGCCGCGACGTCCTTCCTCGACAACGAACGCAGCAGCACAGTGCAACAGCGTGCAGGCACCTCCCGCACCACGTCCCCCGTGAAGGACGTGCCGAGGACGGACTCTGCCACCACTCCCTCTCGCACCACGTCCCCCGTGAAGGACGTGACGAGGAAGGACTCCGCTACATCCTTCAAGGACCTGACTAAAAGGGGATCCTCGTCCTCCATCAGGGAGGTTACCAGGAAGGAGTCCTCGTCGTCCCTCAAGGACATCACTAGGAAAGAGTCGTCATCCTCCATTTCTAGGAGGGAATCCGCATCCTCAATCACCAAGAGGGACTCCTCAACCTCCATCACCAGGAAGGACTCGTCGTCGCCAACGAAGGACGTCGCCAAGAAGAGCACCCCGGCAAGGTCACCTTCGCCCACCAACAAACCAAAGCAGCTTGACATCCTCAGCCGTCCCTCCATCTTCGAAGGTAGAAAGATGATGGCGGCGAAGGAAGGCTCCTCGAAGACCATCAACACGACCACGACGACCAGCACGACCAGCACGACCCGCCCGGAGCCCAAGAGCCCGACCAAGGACGCCCCCGCGGCGCCCAGCTTCTCCTTCTTGGACCGCCCCACCGAGAGCAGCCTGGCGCGGGTGAACAAGTTCGGCGTGCACTTGCGCAGCACGGCGTCCTCGTCGACCACCTCCTCCACGAGGGAACAGCGCAGGCCGAGCGCCGTGTACCTGGACGACCAGGAGCTCAACATCGAGGAGGTGTTCGACATCGAGTTCCTCGAAACCATCGTAAGTGCCAATCAGCCTTTCTGTCCCGGTCGGACAAATAAATGTTGTTTTCATGCAACCTTGGCGAGCCGCCTGCGACACATCGATCCAATTATAGTTGGGTGGGCTGGGCCGGGTCGTGCGCGTCCCCAGCGCCTTACATAACGTCAGCGGTGGGTGATCCCTGCCCGGCCGCCGGGACGCCCGTGACCGGGATCTAATGAGGCGGGGGCGCGACAACACGGCGCCACGACACCTCTGTTCGTACCTCGTGCCGAGCGGGGCCCGGGCGGGGGCGGGCGGGGGCGGGGGTACAGCTCGCCGCGCTTCCTACTCGCATGAGCAACAAGACAGAGGCTTTCAAATTTCTGCAATTAGTCGGTATCATGGCTCCCTCGATTTTAGGGAGAAAGTAGTGTTGTGTTGTCATCTTCCGTACCTTAGAGCTCCCTCTCGTAAAGCCAGCCTCCCGGCGAACAAAAGCCCAGCTGGTTGTTCTGCTGTTCGGATCCGGATCGTTTGAAAGCGCGTTGCGGATGCAGTCCAAGACTGTTTCCACCGGAAAGAAACATGCTCCCCCCTCTCCTTGCTCTTTCCCACTTATTATTTTTATTCAAAAAATGTAAAACACAGGAAAATTATTAACTTTAATAACAAAACACGCAATAGCATCAAACATTCCCCCGGCCACAAGGCCTCATGAGGCTGCAGCGAAAGAAAAGAACCATTAGTGTTTTTTGCCGTCATGTTGGTAGCAGTTTAGCAATTGGCGTTGCTCTTCCGTCTTTTTGGTTTTTTATTTTTGTTGTGACTGTTTTTGTTTAGTTTGTTCTGTTGGTTGTCAGTGTAAAAAGTAAGGTATTTTATTTAAACTAGTTAACTGGAAATTGAATGCACACATATTTGTGCCGGGTAAAATGTAGGCTAACTCACCAATGCGAATTAAAACAATTGATGGTAGGTTTATACCTGATTGACGCGTTGCAAGAAAAGGATACATGAGCAGAGGTTATGGACTGATTTTGTGAATCTACTACTGTAATTTATTTTCTTTAAAGTGGTAAAGATAACATTTTTCGTGTTGACCGATCACTAACGCGTCACGTGCTGCCAAACAGCAGTTGATGTGGGAGTGTGTCCGAATTTTCAATCGTTCCGTTCCGATTAGGTCGGAATAAATCGGAGAGAGGATTTTGACCTATTCGGAACGGAACGAACGATTGAGAATTCGGGCGGACTAAGAATTATAGAAATGTTTTCTGTCTTTGATTCTTCCCGCCCATTTTGCAGCGTAAAATGAATTGTTTTCGATCGTAACTGAAACTTTTTTTTTACATGCAGCTGGAGCGCGTCGTGGGTTACGAACAGCGGCGACGCATTCGCACGCAGATCCGTAAAGCCAGAGAGCAGGCGGAACACCAGGACGTCAAGACGTCGACCAAGACCAGCACAAGCAAGGTGGGAAACACGACGACCGAGAAGGTGAGGACCACGACCACCTCCCAGTCGCCGACCAGCAAAGTCGTCACGACCAGGATCACCACGACGAGCACCACCAACTCGGGCGGCAGAAAGTCGACCGGTGCCGGGGGGCCATCGTCGCCGACGCGGTCCTCACCGACGCGGTCCTCACCGACGCGGTCCTCGCCGACTCGATCTTCCCCTGAGCGTTCACCTAGTCGCTCCCCAGACCGATTTGCTACAAGAAAAGTATGTCGAACGAAGAGTCAAAAATTATCTGCACAGTGTATCAACCGAAATTTCTTATTGGCATTCATATCTTGCAGTCGTCCACCTCGTCTACGTCTAAGTCTCACGACACCACGGAGCGTCGGCGTTCTTCTGCCACGTCCACCACCATCAGCTCCAGCATGAGAGCCAGCTCCCGGACGGAGAGCTCCGCGGACAAGACCAAGTCCACGGCATCGCTGGGTGAGTCTCTTGGCGAGCCCGAGCCACCCCTCTGGACTGCGCGGTGGGGTAGTCCCAGGCGGGAGGACTTCCCCTCGACGCTTCGCGGCGCCAGGTCGCGGTGCAGTGCGCCGTCGCGACGCCGCGCCGGTGGAGGGGGCTCGCGAGCCCGGCGGGAGGCGCGGGCCGGTGGTGGGGGCGGCGCGCCGCGAGCTGCTCTGCGCTGCCCATGCCCGCCGGGCCGGCCGGACCGCGTCGCACCTCGCGCTTCACCGCGTCCCTCGCGTCTTCGCGGCGAAACGCTGCGTCGACGCGGCGCTAGTGTCGCCAGAATCCAGCCGGCTGTCAGCGTGTCCGCGGAGGTGTCCCGCGCGCCCGTCCACCCCACCACCGCTTCGCGGTCGCGGCCCGCGCCTCCCGCCGCGCTCCCCGCTCCCCGCGCGCCCCTACCCCGCCGGACCTCCTCGCCGCGCCAACTTTCAAGTCGCTCGATTCATATCGCGCTCGTCTCTTTACACGTTCGTGTTGCGGATCAAAACAGGTCTTCGGAGAAGAGCGAGAGCGGCCACTTACCTCTCATCGTCGTACGAAAGCGTTGGAAGTCGTCTATTGCCTACGAAATGACTGAAAATCATAGAAAATGGATTTACCACAGTTATGAAACGGGTGCGTTGCTATGGGCATCCGAAAAGGTGGGAAGGAGAAGTCCGGTTTGTGCCTCTCACTCCCGCCGGGGCGAGTGGAGGGTCTTAGATTCTACTTTACGTATGACCCACCATGAATTGACACTCGTACGTTTTCCGATATCAAAATATCCAATTCGGGCTGAAATATTGAGGCCCCTTGGTCCACGTATCCGGTGTGTGTCTGGGCTGACGGGTCTGGACGGCTCCCCTGGTGTACTTTTGCTGGGGACTGTGCGCTCCGCTTGGGGCCCACCGGGGCGTCGGCTCGGGTTACGCCCTGCGTGCATGCCGCGTGCCCCGTCTAGCCGTTGGTTCGTCCCCCCTGATCTCGTGGACATCGGAGCGGGTCAGGGCGG